AATATTCCAAAATGGCATAAAACTCTTAAAATCTTCTATGTTATCATTTGTAACTTTGGTTATTATATTGTATGCCACAAAATAACTAAATTTCCTTGTAAATTTCTGGTTATGGGAAACTTTATCATATTTTCAACTATGGTTGTTTTAAATTTTTGTCATTTACAGTTATTTTAAATTTTTCTCTAAAGGTATCTGCAGTTAGATTGATTACAAAGACTTTGACGAGTACTCTTAAATACAAGTTTCAAAAATTTGAAGATCTTTTTTTTTGCTAAGATGGCACATGAGAGGCATTATTAGCATGCCTCTTGTACTAGTCTGTTTTCATGCTGCTGATAAAGACCTAGCTGAGACTGGGTAATTTATTTAAAAAATGAGGTTTAATAGACTCACAGTTCCACATGTCTGGGGAGGCTTCACAATCACGGCAGAAGGTAAAGGCATGTCTTACATGGTGGCAGACAAGAGAGAGCATGTGCAGGAGAACTCTCCTCTATAGAACCATCAGATCTCACGAGACTTATTCACTATCATGAAAACAGTATGGGAAAAACCTGCCTCCATAATTCAATTATCTGCCACCAGGTCCCTCCCACAACACATGGGAATTATGGGAGCTACAATTCAAGATGAGATCTGGATGGAGACGAAGCCAAACTACATCTTGGAAAAGACAAAATAGTGTGTAGAGATTGCTGCTGTAATTTTTTTTCCAAGAAACAACACAGGCATTTAACCAGAAAGCTGAAAGAAACCACAGACTCTTTGAAAGAAGTGGTGGCAGCAGCCCATACCATGAGCCAGGTGGAAAACTGTGAATCCCCAGAGTGTGACAGTGGGAGAGACTGCCTCTGTGACACACACTCCCACTGGGGAACCTGATAATACAGGCCAACCCGGCACTGGAGCTAAGCAGTTGGGAGTGTTGAGAAGGAGCAGCATCAGACATGCTGTGCACTACCAGACTCCAGTAGGGATGGAGGGAAGCCATTCCTAATTCTACTTTGCAGGGAGCCTTGCAGAAGTGAGACAGCTAACTCAGGAAGCAGTCACAGGTTGAGAGAAGCTCCCAACTGTGATTCACGACATAATCTTGAGTGGGATGAACTCCCTCAGCCAGAACTAAGCGGCAAGTGGAGGCGCTGTAGTCACAGGTGTAGAAGCTGGGCATCCTTGCTTTGGGGTGGGCCAGGAAGGGCATGGCCTGAAAGCCACGGTTTCTGTCCAGGTGGGGAAAGCTTAAAGCCTGCAGCAGTTTTGAGTTCTAAGTGCAGGGCTCCTGGAACCCAGCTAGCTGGGTTAAACATGCAAACAAAAAGAGTCTGTGCTGTTGCTAACACTACATGTCATACTTGTATAAATTTCCCTGGAAAAGTTAAGACCCAAATACATAAAATCAACAAAACAAAACAAGCAAACAAAAAACACTGGTTATAACAAGTTTCACCTAATTCCTCATGGTCATTTAATTAATTAAATTAATTTAATTTATTTAATTTGTTGTCTTTAAACCTAAGTTCATGGATCACAACTACTATACAACCTGAGATTATCATATTACTATTAATTTTATTTCTTATTTTTCTTTTAAACCTTGTACCTGTTACTTGTTAAATTTCCATAGAACAACCCTTTTTTTTTTTTTTGAGATGGTGAGATGGAGTCTTGGTCTGTCACTAGGCTGGAGTGCAGTAGCACAATCTTGGCTCACTGCAACTTCTACCTCCTGGGTTCAAGCAATTCTCCTGCCTCAGCCTCCTGAGTAGCTAGGACTACAGGCATATGCCACCATGCCCAGCTAATTTTCTTGTATTTTAGTACTCACCACAATAAATTTGTGGTGAACCACCTATGTATTGTATTGTATTCACAATACATTGGTGATTGTATTCACCACAATAGATTTGTGGTGAATCACCTATATTGATTTGCATATGTTGAACAGGGTTTCACCATGTCGGCCAGGATGGTCTCCATCTGACCTCATGGTCTGCCCACCTCGGCTTTGAAAAAAAAAAGAGAGAGAAAAACTGGGCTTTAATGAAGGCAATTGCTTTGAAACACAGAATATGAAGGAAGTAGCAAGAAGGTGGCTATTTATTTTATGATTTCAACTTTTATTTTAAATTGAGAGAGTACACATGTACACTTGTTTCCTGGGTATACTGAGAGATACTGAAGTTTGGGGTATAATTGATCCCATCACACAAGTACTGAACATACTACACAATAGCTTTGCAACTTTTGTCCTCTCCATCCTTCCCCTCCATCTATCCCACTGTCCCTCGTGTCTAGTGTTGCCATCTTTCTGTCCATGAGTCTCACTCATAAGTGAGAACATGCAGCATTTGGTTTTCTGTTCCTGTGTTACTTCACTTAGGATAATGACCTACAGCTCCATCCATGTTGCTGCAAAGAACATGATTTTGCTGCTTCTTATGGCTGCGTAGTATTCCATGGTGTATATGTATCACATTTTCTTTATCCATTTCACCATTGATGGGCACTTAAGTTGATTCCATGTCTTTGCTATTGTGAATAGTGCTGCCATGAACATATGAGTGCACGACTCTTTTTGGTAGAATAATCTATTTTCCTTTGGATATTTGCCGGGTCATATGGTAGTTCTGTTTTAAGCTCTTTAAGAAATTTCCAAACTGCTTTCCATAGTGGCTGAACTAATTTACATTCCCACCAACAGTGCATAAGTGTTCGCTTTTCAGGCCGAGCGTGGTGGCTCACACCTGTAATCCCAGCACTTTGGGAGGCCAAGGGGGGCAAATCACAAGGTCAGGAGATCGAGAGGTGAGTTGACCTGACCAAGGTCACACAGTCCTTGCAATTTGAGCATCATAAAGATTAGGGCTGTGCTCAAAGCTGTAGCTCCAGCAACAACTCAGTGTTTAACAAATGTGTTGAATGAATAAATAAAGGAAGAAGACAGAGGTTGAAGAAAGATCTGAGGACGCAAGCAGGAGAAAGAACCTGATATTGATTTATAAACAAGAGTTTGACAAGTGAATAGGAATTTGGAAACGATCCCCAAAGAGAAAAGCTTAGCTCTACTGAGGCAAATATTTATTTACTTTTTTACTCCTAAAGGACAATCATACTCTTCATTGACTTTTAAATGTATTTTTGTTTAGGGAGCTGAGGTGTTATCTTGTTTTTATTGTCAACAGTGGCGGTTATTTTGAGAACTTTAAAATATTTTTAAAAACAAAAAGCAAGCGTGTCTTCTGTTTGGAAGCTCACTTAGGTAGGGAGACTGTTTCTAACACACTCACAATTAATTATAGACATCATCAGGCCTGTGACAACCACAATGTAAGGTGTGAGTGGTTTCTGTTTTTGCAAAAGAAGAAACTAAAATCATACCCATAATAACCAGAATGGTCATAACAAAAGATCAGAAGCAGATGCCTCTGAGGGGACCTGGATTGGCTGAAATATTAAAAGTCACTAATAATACTACAGAAAAGTACCCTTAAGAATGGTCAAAATAGTAAATTTTGATGGTAACTTTACTACAATAAAAAATGTTCAAAACATTGAAAATTTGTTTTAAAAATGTGATGCAATGATTCCTCCGCTTATTAAAAACCTTCCACTGAATGAGAAAGGAGCTGGCCCTAGAGTCGGTGAGGCTCAGCAGCTGGGACAGAGAGGACCCTGTGGGCAGAATCAGCCCCTTCTCTCCTGAGCTGCCACATTCCCAGATACCAGTGTGATCTGTCTTTGGCTGTATAAGACACACTTCCTATGTGGCTTTGGAAGCACACAGACCCAGGTTCTGGTTTCAGCATCAATGTATCCTTGTTCATTAGAGCTCTGTACCTTACCTCTCTGCTTGTGTCCAAGGCTGCAGATCTGAGGTACTCACAAAGAAGCTGTTAGGATTTGAGCAGCATAACAAACTAACAAACGAGTGTTTTACATAACCGCTCTAGGACTTGCAAATTTGTTACGTTTGCCTCCTGCTGCTAAAATTCACCTCCACAGGGAGCTGTTTGTCTGTTGTGCACTGTTCAAATGCCTGGAACAGTCTGGCAGGCCATGGGCATTCGACTATCACTAGTGGTTTAATCTCTGCCCGCTCTCCTGGCCTTCCTGTGTGGCGGGAAGAGAGTGTTCCTCCCTCCCTGGGAGGCATCCTGACAAGTCCAGTGGCCTCTGCATCCACCATGGTCTTGAACATACCCGTTCCTCTTTATCCCCATGCCCACCACCTCAGTGGCAGCTACACCCTTCCTTTACCACGTGTACCAATAGCAGCATCTCCCTGCCTGGTCTCTCTCCTCCCCAGCCTTCCCACTCTAGTCTACACCCACCGCCTCCACCCCAGAACCGCCTTCTAACACTGATCCAGCCATGTCACCCTCCAGCTCCAGTGCCACTCAGGGCTTCCGATGCCCCCAGGGTGAAGTCTGTGGTGCCTCAGTGAACAGACGCGTCAACTCTCATCCTCCCCATGCTTGCTCTGTCCTCAGCCCCCAAGCCGTCTGAGTTCCTTCCCAGGGCTGCGCCCCATCTTCAGCCTTTTCTTAACTGATTTCCTTTCTCTGGTATATTCTCTCTCCCAATCCTCATCATCACCTGCCTAACTCCTGCTTACCCTTCAGGAGTCCATTTAGAGGCCACCTCTTCTGAAAAGCCTTCCTTGATTTTACCCCACCCCACTCAACCTGAGTGAAGTGTTTCTTTTTTTCCTGCCAAGGCCACACAGCAAGTAAATCGTTGGACTGGGATTCAAATTCAGGCCCACCTGCTCCCAAAACAGCAAGCCAAAACCAGAAGACTGTGTCATTACTTATTTATCCAGGAAAAAAGAGACTCAGGAGTGAGGTAGAGCTCAGCTAACATCTTGAAAAGTTGCCCAAAATATATTAAATGAAAACACCAGGTTGTAGAACAATGTGTATGGCACAATTCCATCAAAAAACATAACAAACTATATATATTTATTTAGGTTTTTGAAGCACAGTAGAAGCCTACACAAACACAAATGGAGCTGTTAATGGTAATTTTGGGTGGGTGAACTTAAATATTCTATAAGATTTGAATTTGTTATGTATTCTTCATGTCCTCAAAAAAATTAAACTCCAAGGAAACTCCACAGCTTTTCTCCAATAATAAGTAAGAGGCTTGAACACTAAGGAATTGCAATAGACAGAGATCAGCTTTTGGAGGAAGGGCTCCTTCCTGCAGTGGTAACACGAGATGAGAGTAGATGCAGTTGGCCAAGGAGCCACGCTCACCTTTCCCAGCAGCTCAGGCAGGCCCAGCAGCTGCCCAGTGAACACACCAATGCAGATGAAGATGGCGGTCACCTGCCCCAGAGAGCCACGGATCTGCTTGGGTGAGATCTCACTGAGGTACATGGGGAGCACACTGAGGGCAATGCCTGTGGAGGAAGCACAGCAGCAGTTAGAGAGGTGTCTTCCTGAGGGAGCCGCACTCTGGTTACACTGCCTCTCTTGGCTCTGCTTTGCCCTGGACATTAAATAGCACTGTAGCCACAGCATCCTTCCCAGCACTTTGCACAAATTGCCAAAGCTTTCTCACGCACTTTATAATTTAACCCCTAAAGTATGATGGAGGTGCATTTCAGAGGACAGGACACAGATGATGGTGTTGGTGGAGGTGACGGTAATGATGGTGATGGTGATGGTAGTGATGGTGATAATAATGGTTGTGATGGTAGTGGTGGTGGTAGTGATGGTCATGATGGTGATGATGATGGTAGTGGTGACGGCAGTAATGGTGATGATGGTGGTAGTGATGGTAATGATGGTGATGGTGGTGGTGGTGATGATGGTGGTGGTAGTGATGGTGATGATGGTGGTGGTAGTGATGGTGATGATGGTGGTGGCAGTGATGGTGATGATGGTGGTGGTAGTGATGATGATGATGGTGACGGTGATGATGGTGGTGGCAGTGATGGTCATGATGGTGACAGTGATGATGGTGATGGTCATGATGGTGACGGTGATGATGGTGATGGTAGTGATGGTGATGATGGTGAAGGTGATGATGGTGGTGGTAGTGATGGTGATGATGGTGGTGGCAGTGATGGTCATGATGGTGACAGTGATGATGGTGATGGTAGTGATGGTGATGATGGTGGTGGCAGTGATGGTGATGATGGTGGTGGTAATGATGGTCATGATGGTGAAGGTGATGATGGTGGTGGTAGTGATGATGATGATGGTGATGGTGATGATGGTGGTGGTAGTGTGGGTCATGATGGTGAAGGTGATGATGGTGGTGGTAGTGATGATGATGATGGTTGACGGTGATGATGGTGGTGGCAGTGATGGTCATGATGGTGACAGTGATGATGGTGATGGTAGTGATGGTGGTGATGGTGGTGGCAGTGATGGTCATGATGGTGACAGTGATGATGGTGATGGTAGTGATGGTGATGATGGTGGTGGCAGTGATGGTGATGATGGTGGTGGCAATGATGGTCATGATGGTGAAGGTGATGGTGGTGGTAGTGATGATGATGATGGTTGATGGTGATGGTGGTGGCAGTGATGGTTATGATGGTGACAGTGATGAAGGTGGTGGTAGTGACGGTGATGATGGTGGTGGTAGTGATGGTCATGATGGTGATGGTGATGGTGGTGGTGGTGAAGGTGATGGTTGTGGCAATGATGATGATGGTGATGGTGGTGGTAATGATGGTCATGATGGTGATGGTGGTGATGATGATGATGGTAGTGGTAATGGCAGTAGCAATGGTGATGACGATGGTGGTGGTGATGGTGGTGGTAGTGATGGTGGTGGTGGTGGTAGTGATGGTAATGGTAATGGTGGTGATGGTGATGATGGTTGTAGCAATGATGATGGTGATTGTGCTGTTAGTAGTGATGGTCATGCTGGTGATGACAGTGATGGTAATGATGGTAGTGGTGATGGTGGTAGCAAAGGTGATGATGATGGTGGTGGTGGTGGTGATGGTGATAATAGCCAATACACAGTGGCTACCAATTAACAGGAATCCTTCTTATCTCTTTATATGTATTAACATACTTACTTTTTACAATAATCCTCTGAATTAAATATACTATTATAATTTCTAATGCAAAGATGAGTAAACTGAGGCACAGAAAAGTTGAGTAACTTGCCTAAATCACCAAGTGATGTCCAGAGATACTCAAAAAATTATTTTGCCCAACAGAACCCCAGTGGGTCTCTGATCTTAGAATCTGAGCTTTTCCCACCAGCTAACATTGCCTCTTGTCGTAAATTATGGAACTCAGTTATGGCAGATGCTGTTATACTCATTTTATAAGAATAAGTCACCCACATATAATCTAATTATTTTTAGCTAAATTCACATGTTCGGAGGCTTACGACAGGTATTTTGAATAAAACCTAACAGTTATAAAGATGTTTTACAAAGTGCTTGCTGCACACACAGTGGGCCTGTTAGGAAAAACAATATGAGGACTTGTCAATTTAAAAAAAACAAACAAACCTTGCTTTTCCCCTATACCTGAGTAGGGTTATTCTTAAATCACTTTGTAGGCCTATAAATGATTACATTGCACTTATCCCAGGCAGATTCATCGATTGTTTAGAGCACAGATTCCTGCAACTTACAAGCTGTGGAAACTTGGGTGGAGTTGTTACCTTTTTTCAGCTTCCGCAAGATGGGGATACATATTGAGCCTAGCTACATGGGATCTCTGTGAGAGTTAAGACATGCTCAGCACCTACTCATTGTAAAATGCTGTACAAATTAGCATTATCAGCAACAAGAAAGAGGCTAATAGATAAGATATAAAACTGCCAAACAGAAAGAATCTCAGTCACCTCCATGAGGAAAGGACTTTCCAGGTGATCCACTCCAACCTCAGCCAGCCTTTCTCCAAAGCAGGCAGGGTCTCTGAAACCCAAATCCTAGATCTGTGCTTCATTAATTAAGAATACAAATAACAACAACAACGACAATAATACCATCACCATTCCTGGAGTGGAGCCCTGAGTTCCTGGAACTACACTAAGCACTTCGCATACGTAATAGATCATTTAATTTTTACACCACCCAATGAGAAAGGCTTTACTACCAAGTTGCCTTGCCAGAAGGGAAAGAGGCCAAGACAGTGAGTTCAATGGTTGCTGCAGTGGTCCCTGATTTGTACCCCTCCCTGGATCCACCTCCCTGGGGAGTTAGTCATCTCTGACATTCATTCTGCACCTGGTGATGGGACTTGCTTGGGCCAAAGGGACATCAGCAAATGCGCATGCAAAGTGCTTGCACATTGGGACTTTCTCTATTGGCTGCTATTGGAAGCCCAAGAGCTCTCTGCAAGGCAGCCCAGGTTCGTCACACCCAGGGTGGGAAGCCAAGAAATGAGCTGGCACACTGAGAGCCCCTGAGATCAGGCCACCTGCTAACAGCCAAACACAGACGTGAGACCATCCCAGGTCATCCAGCCACTGACCAACCTGAAGCCACTGCAGACATATGGGAAGACTCGCAGAGACTGGCAGAGCTGGCCCAGAGCAGAACTACCCAGCTAACCCACAAAAGTGAAAGCACAGTAAAATGGTTCTTGCTTGAAGCCATTACGTTTTGTTTTGTTTTGTTTTGTTTTGTTTTGTTTTGTTTTGTTTTGTTTTAAGAGACAGGGTCTCACTCTGCAGCCAAGGCTAGAATGCAGTGGTGCCATCATGACTTAAGTCTGGGGTTTTAAAAATGCAGCAAATCTAACCTATACAGATAAGGTAATGAAATTAATGGAAGTAAGTGGAAGCACCAGGCAGTCTGAATCCATAGACTTCACCCTTAACTACTTTCCTGCTCCAGCTTTCTGAGCCTCAGTGTCCTCATTTGAAAAATGAACATGAAAAACAGTCTTTCATTATAGGAGGAGATCAAGAGAGATGAAAACCATGAACGCAGTTGGTCAATTATAAAACATTGCATAGACTGCAGCCGTCATTCCTACAGATAAACTCTCTATAGCCATCTCCCTTCTACTTGAATAGAAGGAGCCTATTTAAGTAGAATAGACTAATGAATAGGCGAATGATTGAGAAGTCACTTCATCTTGAGTTTGGACTATTGCAGAGTCCTGGGTTATTCCCCTCCAGCAGGGCAACAAAGGTCCGTGAAGCCTCCTCCTCCCAACTTTACTTCCACGCCCCCACTCTCCTGCTCGCCTCTCCCTGAGACATTTTTGTTGTTCATCTCACTCATAAAGCCTGGTACCCTCAGCTTTTAAGGCATCAACAACGAAGGGAATTAGCCTTTGAGAAGCTCATGCTAGGTTCCAGGCAGTGTGTGTGTGTGTGTGTGTGTGTGTGTGTGTGGAGAGAGAGAGAGAGAGAAAGAGATTCAGTTCAGCCTGATACGTATAGCCTTTCAAAGTAGGGATTATTTATTTATTTATTTATTTACCAACATTGGTATTTATTCTCTTCAGCTGGATCAAAGCAGGGATTACTATCTCTATTTTACAAATAGAGAAGAAAAGAAACCAAGGCTCAGAGACATTAAGTAGCTTACACAAATCAGAAATTGGCAAGCAGCAGACAGAACTGAGATCCAAACTCAGGGCTCTCTAATTCTAAAGCTTGCAATCTTTCCACAAATCCCTAACAGTGATCCTTTATGGATTTGCCTATTTAGAAAGAGAGAGCAGACAGAACTGAGATCCAAACCCAGGGCTCTCTAATTCTAAAGCTTGCAATCTTTCCACAAATCCCTAACAGTGATACTTTATGGATTTGCCTATTTAGAAAGAGAGCAGAGCTTGTCTGACAATGTATCTTAAGTCTCCTACTCTCACTCCCACAGCCAGGATCTGTCCCCTTCTCCCCAGTTCCCTACCCAGCCCAGTCCCTTCCCTGAACAGCTGGCTCCTCTGATTCCACTCCTGGCTTCCCCTCACACTCCCTTATTGGAACAAACCAGCCCATGCCACATTCCTCTCAACCCTCCCTGAACACTCTGCACAGGTCCATGGTCCTCACCATGGCCTGCAAGGTCTTGTGCGATCTGGCCCCCGCTCTTCTTTGCCCTCATAAGCACCCACACATCTCCTGGCTCTTTCTCAGACATGCCATGCCCCCTTCCACCTCTAAGCTGTCATCACACTCTTCTCTCTGCTGGGAACAGTTCTCACCCTCGGCTCCTCTGGTCTCTGCTCATGCTTCCTCCTCTGAGCAGTCTTCCCTGATTGGCCTTTCTAAAACAGCCCTCACCACCCCCGTGCCCTGCTTTGTTTTCTTCCTAGGACCTGCTACTATCTACTTTATGTATCTGCCTGCTCACTAGAACGTAGGCTCTAGGGACAGGGTCTTGTTAATCATTGTGTCTCCATCTAGAGCATGCCAGCCCTTGCAGGTGTTCCACAAACACTTGGCGAGTAAATGAAGCAACAAATGAGCTGGAGGCCCAGAGAAGAAACACCATCCTCATAAAAGCCCCCTGAAAACCACAGACAACCTTGGAATATGAACATTGTGATGAAGGTGACCAAGCAGAAGACATGACATGCTGAAGACCTCCCAGGTCTTTAGGGTATACTGGGGACCCTGCCCAACATTCCTCAATTAGGGGCTAGAGCATCATGAATTGGATGGCTCATCCCACAGGACTGTCCCACTTTATGCAGACTTCTAGCATTCTCGGTCCCTGACAACTCAGTATCAGCAGAGAGCTCCAGCCATGTGACTGCCCCAAACACCTCTCACCTTTTGGGACACCCCCAAGGAATATGTTACTGTTCCTGTCAGGGTGAACTCTCACCTCCATTTATGCCCATGATGAAGCGTCCCACGATGAGCATTTCAAAGGCTCCTGCCTGGAGCGAGCAGGCCATCAGCAATGCAGCAGAAATTGCAAACCCATTATTGGCCAGCAAAGTGTGCTTCCTGGAAAGAAAGGAGAGATTTGATGAAGACATCTCACCATGAGGCATGTCACTGAACTGTCCATCTCAGGAGCAGGGGCCAGGCCCTTCTGAAGGATGAGTAGAGTAAGACTCAGGTACAGTGTGGGGAGCACTGGCCTTGCCACCTCTGGCTGTGTGACCTTGAGCAAGGCACTTCATCCCCCTGGGTTCAGCCCTGGGGTCTACTAGGTCACTTCCAAAGGCACCATCAGCCTTGACATCTGTGAGTTCTCTGTCGTATTTTATTGCATTAAATCTAAGACTTTTATTTAACATTCTGAAATCAATATGCATCTTATAATTCTTGAGTCAGGGTTCAGGCAGGAAAATGGAAAGCACTCTAGGTATTTTAATGGAAAGAATTTAACATAGGGAATTGGTTAAGCAGATATTGGAGAACGGAGATATCAAAAAGGAAGGCCTCTGAAGAGGGGGTGTTTCTCATGTGGTACAGACACCTCAGAGGCCTGGAGGAGGGCCCTGAAGACCTCTGAGAATGGGCACTGCCCACTGGTACTGTTTCTTTTGAGGGGCAGCATGATTCTGGTTCTGGAAGTGGACAAAAGTTGGAGGCTGGAATCAACTGCCAGTGTCATCACTGGGACTGGCAGGAAATTCAGACAAACATGAAAAAGCAAGTCCCTTCTCTCTCCTCCAGTGCCCCTATTGGCATAGGACAAATAGGGGTGCAGGTCCTAGCCCCAGCATCAGAGAGAGAGCGAGAGCCCATAAAGGTAAGTGTGGAGCTGAGAGACAGCAGCTCGACAACTAGTATAGCATCCTACAAGTTCAGTTGGCTCCTTCCTTCCCCTCCCTTCCTTATTTCCTTTCCTTTCCAGTGGCTCACAAAACAACAATACTTCTTAGACCCAACGGCATCTTAGATTTGATGGACTACAGTACTAAGTGTATGGCTGGACTAATCCGCCCAAACAAGATCAGGGAATTGGCAATAATTATTATTAACAGCTCTGTGTCAGGACTGCCATCGCTGTTTTATAAACACATGCCTAAGACTTTGTGGTTCAAATCTGACTTGTTTGGAGGCCAAGGGGCCTGGATTCCTGCACCAGCTCTATCCTTCAGGAGCTAGGGGACTTTGAACGCTATTGCTCTGTGTTATCTTTTCTTACTTTTGCAAAATGATATTAAAAGCACGTATTTATTGAACTGTTACTATAGGATAGACCCTTTTCTAAATACTTTACATGAGTAGCTAATTTAATCCTCAAAATGACCCAAAAAGATAGGTACTCTTATTATCCTTACTTTATTTTTCTTTAAGTATTTTATTTATTTATTTTATTTCACATGGCAATTCAGTTGTCCCAATCCCATTCATACAATAGTGCCTACTTGACACAATACTATAATATGCAGTCTTTGTCATATATAGGCATACGCTGAAGATATTGCAAGTCTGCTTCTACCACTGCAATAAAGCAAATATTATATATATATATATTTATATATTTGCACTTTAGGTTCTGGAGTACATGTTTAGAACATGCAGGATTGCTGCGTAGGTACCTACCATTGTTGCATGGCAATGTCGTTTGCTGCCTCCATCCCCCCGTCACCTACATTAGGCATTTCTCCCCATGTTATCCCTCCCCAACCTCCCCACCTACCACTGTCCCTCCCTATTTCCCTCCAACAGACCCGAGTGTGTGATGCTCCCCTCCCTGTGTCCATGTGTTCTCATTGTTCAACACCCGCCTATGAGTGAGAAAGGTGTTTGATTTTCTGTTCTTGCATCAGTTTGCTGAGAATTATGGTTTCCAGGTTCATCCATGTCCCTATAAAGGACACAAACTCATCGATTTTTATAGCTGCATAATATTCCATGGTGTATATGTACCACATTTTCCTTGTCCAGTCTATCATCGATGGGCATTTGGGTTGGTTCCAGGTCTTTGCTGTTGTAAACAGCGCTGTTATAAACATACGTGTGTCTGTGTCTTTATAACAGAAAGATTTATAATCCTTTGGGTATATACCCAGTAATGGGATTGCTGGGTCAAATGGAATTTCTATTTCTAGGTCCTTGAGGAATCGCCACACTGTCTTCCACAATGGCTGAACTAATGTACACTCCCACCAACAGTGTAAAAGTGTTCCTATTTCTCCACATCCTCTCCAGCATCTGTTGTCTCCAGATTTTTTAATGATTGCCATTCTAACTGGCATGAGATGGTAT